TTTTTTTTTTTACTCTTGATTTTTAATTTTATTTAATTTAACAGGGAAAAATAATTGTTAAAGTAAGTGAAGTTTAAGAATTAAAGACAGTAATGTAAGTTTTAGTCATAAAGATTATTGAGGAAGTAAAAATACAATTAAGCTGCTTGTAGCAAGGAAGTTTTATTAATTAATTTTATTAATTAATAATTAATCGATTTATTTTTTAATTACAAATTGTGTGATTCATGTTTTCTTTTTTAATTGATAAAATAAAAAATTGATTATTATTATGGTTTTTCTTTTACAAACATTTGTAACTTATCATTATAATCTATTTGCTTAGTGGAATGAGTCATCACTTAGTTTATAATTTTAAAAACTATGTATAAATTATAAAACATATAAATGATGCACAAAAATGTTGAAATTTCTGTAAAAAAAAAAGAAAAGAAATATAATTGCTATTTTTTTGTTAAAGTTTGATTGAAACATAACAAAACTGTGCCATAATAATTTAAATAATGTCAACGATAGGAATATCTTTACTGTGAGATTTATTTGAGGAAACTGAAATAATACTGATCAGAATCATTTAGGTTAAATTACTGATAGCTTAGAAACAAAGAAAAAAAAAAGTTGATATTACTGTATATATTTTAATGAAGTTTGATTCATATAACATTTTGTAAACTAATGACTGGATTATTGCAGTGATCCGGATTAGAAGGAAAAATAAATTCAAATATTGATTTATAAAGTATAAAAGAAAAAAAAAATTCCAAAATATGGTGTGTTCTTCCATTTGAATCAATTTCAAATTTTCATTTTATAAAATTTCATTTATTGCATCAAGATGATTCCAAGATTTTTGCGAAAATCTTTTTGCGAAAAACAATTTTTGCGAAAATTGTGCTTTAAATTTATTTGACAATAAGGAAGAAATTTGTGGAATTTTTAATTATGCACAGCAATATGCTTATTTCAACATTAATATTTCACTCCTTTTTTTTTCTTCTTGTTTTCTAAAAAAGAAAAAAAAATAAGTGAAATTATTATCTTGCTGAAATTTAATAGCAAATTTTTAATTACTATGAAATTTCTATAGATTAACTGAAAATGTGCCATAAACAAAAAAGAAAGCTAAACAAAATATAAAAGAAAAGAAGGCGATAAAAGGACAAGAAAGGTAAATATTTGATAGTATGGATAAAAAATCAAAAAATATAGAAAAAAATCACTAAAATATTAAAAAAATATTGTTAGAAGAAGTAAAATATTATAATAATAAGGGAAAATATTAATTATTTTACAAACTAAAGACGAAAAAGCAGAAAAATGGTACATATATATATATATATATAAATAGTAAAAAAACTTTTTTAAAACTACTAAAATTTGTCATAAATTTTGAAAGTATTCTAAAGTTTACATCACTAAATACATGTAGATATATGTTTACGTCTATGTATCTGTATACTTTTTAATTTAGTTCATCATAGTTTTATTTTGCTTTTAAGTAATTAAATGGAAGTGGAATTAATTAATTATCCATATTATATATGGTCATTCTACCATATATGGTCATTCTCGGTCATTTATTCATTCATTCAATTAACCAACATTTCTCTTATGGCACTATCTCATAACAAATATAATGTCTTCATTTAAAGTTGCTAACGATTTTCAAAATGCATAGAAAACAATAATTTCGTTCTATCATTATTGTATAATAAAATAATTTTGATGATCGAAGTAATGAATAGGACAAAAGAAGGATAAAGCAGAAATGAAAAGAAATGGAATTGAATACTGCTATGCAGCTGCGAGTTAGCAAGCTTTGTCATGCAGGTGCATGTTGTTAACAAGCTTTGTCTTATCGTACATACATTGCAAATTTCGCATATTAAGAAGACAAAAAAAAAAAAAAAAAAACAAAACAAAATAATCAAGTGTATTTGTATTTTAAAGTAACACTAAGCGTAGGTATGGAAAACAAAAAAAAGCGGAAATGTCCACTTTATAAATTATGAAATGTTGAAAAAAAAAAAGAAATCATATGAAATGATTTAAAAAGAAATGAATAAAATTAGAAAAATTTTGTATAATAACAAAATTCTAAATTGATTTTAATGCTATCAAAAGATGAAAATAATTAATTGTAATTATAAAATTTTCAAAAATTTATAATTTAACCATATGAATAGATAATTGATATGGCAAATTTATCATATATAGCAATAAAAAGATTGATTAATTGATTGATTATTTTTGATGATTTTGATAGATTGAATCATTATAAGTGGTATGGAACAATTTAGACACATATCACCAATTCTTTACTGCCAAATTGTTGTTAATCGGTATCCGTCGTATGCGAACATTTTTAGTTATATTCGGGAAAAAAAAGAAAAAAAAAAAGAAAAAAAGGGAATGAAAGAATGGATAAATGAGGAGTTCAATTAGAATTGGTGAACAATTATTGATAAATTTTATCAGCTTATCAGTAAAATTTATAATATTTATACTTGAACTTAATTATATTTCATTTTTTTCTTTCTTTT